AATGTTAAGATTTCATTCAATTTTATGGCTGGGTATGTATGTACCACTTCCTTATCCATTGTATGTATGTACCACTTCTTTATCCATTCATCTATTGATGAACATGTAGGTTGCTTGCATATCTTAACTATCCTATATACGTAATAAAAAGCTAATATTCAATTAGACTGAACAGTGAAAACAACTGAAACAAATAACCAGCGCTATGATGTGCGCTGACCACCAGGGGGCGTTGGCAGCAGATGGCAGAGAGCAGAACATGGTGGGCGGCGGGATGGTGGAGCAGGTAAGCTGGGACGCTAGACCAAAGCGAGGCGCCAGTCGCTGTCATCAGGGTGAGCTTCTGCTGGTTACTAAAAATTCTTTGCTCCTGCTTGCTGTGGTCCTGCCCAAAGCTCGCACCTGCTGCTAGCACTGGCCCTGCTTGCACCTGCTGCCAGTACTGAAGCTGCCTCTTGTACCCGCCGTCAGCAACAGCACCGCTCGCGCTCACTGCTGGTGTTGGAACCGCCACTCACACCCACTGTTGGTGCCGGCCCCACTTGTACCTGCAGCCCGCACCTGGCACCAGTCCTTATCACTGGGCACTGTCAGCAGATGCAAGCGGTGTCTGCTGGTCCTGATGGCCCCATGAAGGCTTCTCCATCTTCTCCTGCTCCTGAGGTGTGATTGAGGCAGCAGCCACCACTTGCACCTACTGCTGGTGCCAGCCCCAATAGCTCTGCGCCCTCAGCACATAGGGTCGGCAGTGGGAGTGGGGCTACTAGCAGACAGGGGACGGGGGCCACAGCAGGAGGGTCAGGCAGGGGGTGTGCAGGATGGGCCAAGACCCGCCCCTGTGCCCACTGCAGCCTGGAGGCCCATAGTCCCTTTCAAGGTGTACAAATTCGTTGGCCCCCTAGTTGTTAATAATGGTGCGATGAACATAGGGGTACATATGTCTTTTTGAATTAGTGTTTTTGATCTCTTCAGATAAATACCCAAAAGTGGAATTGCTGGGTCCTTCTTTGTCTTTTGTTATTATAGCCTTTGTTTTAAAAGTCTATTTTGTCTGGTATAAGTATTGCTACCCCAGCTTTTTAATTTAAATTCTATTTTCATGAAATACCTTTTTCATCTTTTTACTTTCAGTGTGTGTGTGTCTTTTGATCTGAAGTAAGTTTCTTGTAAGCAGCATATATAAAGATATTTTTTTTCTTTTTTTCTTTTTTTTTTTTATGTGTTAATCGTCACCTGAGGATATTTTTTCCATTGAATTTTAGAGAGGGTAGGGCTGAGGGAGGGAAGAGGAGAGAGAGAAACATCGATGTGAGAGAGAAATGTGCCCTGACTGGGAATGGAGATCAAAGCTGCAAACATTTGGGACATGGGCCAATGTTCTAACCACTGAGCACACTAGCCAGGGCAAGGGTCTTGTTTTCTTATCTATTCAGCCACCCTATGTCTTTTCATTTAAGCATTTAATATGTTTTATATTTAAAGTAATTGTTGACAGATATGTAGTTATTGCCATATTATTATTCACACTTTTTGTTATTAATCTTTACCTAAGGATATTTTTTTCATTGATTTTTTTAGAGAGAGTGGAAGGGAGGAGGAGAAACACCAATGTGAGAGAGACACATCAATTGGTTGCCTCCTGCACTCATCCTGATGGGGACTTGTTGTGGGGTCAAACCCTGGGTTCAAAATAAGACCACTGGAGGCTGATGATTAATTTAAAAAAGCAGGCAAAGAATTTATTGGAATATCTGGCCAGGGCAGCCGCAAGAGCACCACACGCAGGCGGACTCCAAACGACTGTGAGGCTTTAGGGGCAGGTAGTTATTTTTAAAAGTTCTGAGAAGGAAAACCCCCATTCTGCAACAAACTGTTGTTTGGAATTTTCTGCTATTCTTCCTAGATAAAATGTTGCTTTCTAGTTTGCTTTAGCCCGTTTGAAGCATGATGAAAATAAACTTAGCTGTCTGACCTTGCAGGCCAGTGACCAGATATGCCCACAATCTCAATACCATACCAGGTGCACTTTTTTTAATTGGATAGAACAGCATTGTTTTTCAAGGCCAGAATAGAGATAACCACTAAGTGCACATAGGGCTGGCTCTTTAATAAAAAATAAAAAATATAAAAAAAGGAAGTTCTGCCTGTAACCTTGCTTAGAATTTGAATTCATCCTAATTCAGACTGAGGATGGAGTCTGCAACAAAGGTACATGCCCTTGACTGGAATTGAACCTGTGATCTTCAGTCAGGTTGATGCTCTAATCACTGAGAAAAACCATCTAGGGCTTATCATTCATAGTTGAATCTTCTTTTCTTATTTTCCTTCATGAAAGCCCTTTAATATTTCATGTAATGAAATAGTGATGAACTTGGTTAGCTTTTCTCGTCTGGAAAGCTCTTTATCCTTTGATTCTAAATGATAGCTTTGCTGAGTAGAGTAATCTTGGTTCTAGGAACTTGTTTTTCACCACTTTGAATATTTTGTGCCAATTTCTTCGGGCCTGCAAAATTTCTATTGAGAAATCAGCTGTCAGTCTTACAGAAGCTCCATTGCAGGTAACTCTCTGCTTTTTTTCCTTGCTGCTCTTAAGATTCTCTCTTTGTCTTTAACCTTTGGGATTTTAATTATGATGGGCCTTGGTGTGGGCCTCTTTGGGTTTATCTTGTTTGGGACTCTTTGTGCTTCCTAGTCTTGTCTGTCTATTTCCTTCTCCAGTTAGGGATTTTTTTTTCTGTCATTGTTTCTTCAAATAACTTATTTCCTTGCTTCCTCTCTTTTCCTCTGGGACCTCTATGCTATGGATGTTGAGACATTTTATGTTGTCCCAGAAGTCCCTTAAAACTATCCTAATTTTTTAATTCTTTTTTCTTTTTGCTATTTTTATTGGGTGTTTTCTGCTAATTTATCTTCCAAATTGCTGATTGATCCTCTGCTTCTTCTATTCCACTGTTAATTCCCTTTAATATAGTCTTCATTTCAGTTAATGAATTATTCATTTCTAACTGCTTTATGTTTTCTATCTTCATTTTTATGTCTCTTATTTCTTTGTTGAAATCATTACTGAGACCATTGAGCATCCTTATAACCAGTGTTTTGAATTCTGCATCTGGTAGATTGCTTGTCTTGATCGTGGTTAGTTATTTTTCTAGAGTTTTGGTATGTTATTTTATTTGGGACTATTTTTTCTGTATCCTTATTTTGGCTGGCTCCTTGTGTTGGTTTCTATTTATTAGGTAGAGCTGCTCTGCCTTCTGGTTTTGGTAGAGTGGTCTATGTAGTAGGTGTCCTGTGGGGCCCAGTGGCACATTCTCTGTGGTCAGCCTAGCCAGGTGCTCCAGATATATCCCTGGTGTATGCCCTTCTCTGTAGTTGAGCCCTGATTGCTATTGGCATGTCAGTGGGAGGAATTGACGCTTAGGCTGACTGGCTGAGGACTGGCTATGAGTACAGTAGAACTGTTATTTAGTGATTGACTGTACAGAACAAGTTACTTTAGTGGGGCTCCAGTGTGTCAGGCTCTTTTTCATTCCCTTTAAGTCTCAGCTTAATAGCTCTAAGAATGTGTCTCACTACCATATTTAAAAGTATGGGCACTTTTTTTCCTTCTATACAAGCTAATCATGTTTATTTAAGACAAGAAAAAAGCACTTGTGATCCTTTCTCATCCAGAGAAAACCACTATTAACACTACAATGCATACTTTTTTAGACTCCCCTTTCCAATTTATAAAGATAATACTAGATGCCTGGTGCACGGAATCTGTACAGAAAAGAGGGATGGTCCCTCAGCCCAGCCTGCACCCTCTCGCAATCTGAAACCACTGGCTCCTAATGCTCACCTGCCTGTCTGCATGATTGCCCCTAACCACTCTGCCTGCCTGCCTGATTGCCCTTAACACTCACCTGCATGCCTGATTGACCCTAACCACTCTGCCTGGTTGCCTCTAACCACTCTGCCTGCCTGCCTGCCTGATTGCCACTAACGGCCTTTGCCTTGGCCCCCGCTGCTGTGGCTTCTCCAAGAAGGATGTCTGGAAGGTCATTTGGCTGTCCAGTCTAAACAGTATATTACACTTTTATTATTACAAATATATTCATGAGAAAATGAAAACAGCACAGATAGCTGTACCTGCCGGGTGTTTGAAAAGCTACCTCTGTACTTTCTAATTCATTGGCATGTTTTCTTCCAAGTCTAGACCTAATCACATGCTAATAAGGATTTGTGTGCTAGTATGTTCATCTCTTCCATTAAAATGTCAGCTCTTTATAGATGTGACTTTGGTCCTATTTTCTTGCATTCCTAACTATTTGGCAAATACAATAGTAAGTAGGTGCTTACTGTATTTGTATTGATTGAATGAGAATTGTAGCCAGTAAATTTACTTTAGGTCTCAGGCCTCAAAGTTCAGGTAAGATGAGGTTTGGGGTTCACCCTGAAGGAGAAGGGGGTTAGAGTGGCCCAGAGTGCTCCACCCATCCTGACTACCTTGCCCCACTGACTATGCCCCCAGGCACTGCCTGGAGATACAGGCCCTAACTAATCATGTCTATTTAAGAAAAGATAAAAGCAGGGTCGGTAGTAGTAAAGGGTGAGGGTGATGGTAACAGACCTTCTCTGCTCTCTAGATCTCCTGACTCAGAGCCCTGGAGATTTCTGGAAGGATGGAGAAGCATTCAGATCTCACTCAGCAGGGATAAAGGAAAGGAGAGGGAAATGAGTCCTAGCTGGGAGGAAGGGTTTGCTAGGGCCAGGGACAGCCCGTCTGACCCCCAGAATGGACCTTGTCAGACCAAGGCCAACCTGCTGTGATTTCTGTCAGATGAGGGAGACTCTATGTCTGGGAGTCTGAAGCTCGATCTGCTTTTGGGTGTGGGGAGAAAATGGGAAAGTGGAACGGGGCTTGGGGTTGATTGGGAAGGAGGTGTGGGAGGCTGGAGGGTGCTAACAGTGCGTTGCTACCCCTCCTCACTACCCTGTTCCTCCAACCTTGCTGTCAGGTGCAGTAGAGGTCCAGGTCCCTGAAGACCCTGTGGTGGCCCTGCTGGGCACCGATGCTACTCTGCGCTGCTCCTTCTCACCGGAGCCCAGTTTCAGTCTGGAGCAGCTCAACCTCATCTGGCAGCTGACAGACACCAAACAGCTGGTGCACAGCTTCACGCAGGGCCAGGATCAGGGCAGCGCCTATGCCAACCGCACTGCACTCTTCCCTGACCTACTGGCTCAGGGCAACGCATCCCTGAGGCTTCAGCGTGTTCGTGTGGCTGATGAGGGCAGCTTTACCTGCTTCGTGAGCATCCGAGACTTTGGCAGTGCTGCAGTCAGCCTGCAGGTGGCAGGTGAGCACCAGAAGGGGGCACCCTCCCCCTGAATCACCCTTCTCACTTCCCTAACTCCTTATCCACTGCCCTGTGCTGACCCCTGTTACTCACAGCCCCAGGCACCCTGTTCCTCCACTGTGTCCCCTCTGTCCTTGCCTTATCTTGACCTTTACCCTTTGCCTCCCTCCAGCCCCCTACTCAAAGCCCAGCATGACCCTGGAGCCCAACAAGGACCTGCAGCCTGGAGATATAGTGACCATCACATGCTCCAGCTACCAGGGCTACCCTGAGGCCGAGGTGTTCTGGCAGGATGGGCAGGGTGTGCCTTTGGCGGGCAATGTGACCACATCGCAGATGGCCAATGAACAGGGTTTGTTTGACGTGCACAGTGTTCTGAGAGTGGTGCTGGGTGCTAATGGCACCTACAGCTGCCTGGTGCGCAACCTTGTGCTGCAGCAGGACACTCACGGCTCCGTCACCATCACAGGTAGGGGACTGATGAACAGGTGGGGAGGATGAAGGAGCCACCCTCTCTTTTCTAGATGCTGGGCTGGAATTTAGATAGGTTTGAATGTTCAGAAGACTTGAAAAACCATTTTCATACATTTTAGGTGTCTCAAATCCTCTCCCAATAAGTCCTTAAGGGACTTGCCTAATGAACTAATAAGAGGCATTTGTAATGTTTGCTATCCTAGCAGCACCTTAGGTGGCACTTATGCTTCTTATATAGGGAACCAAGTACCTGCCTGGAATATGAAGTGTGAGTGGGGGTTCTGGGGCAGCCCCAAGGCATGGTCGTGGTGAGAGAGTGTTTTCTATGGGAACTTCTGGCTGATGGGAAGGCTTTGCTGCGTCCTTGGGTGCCATTTGATTCTGAGACCCTGAGAGACAGCAGGGCTTCTACATGTGGTCAGCCCGCAGCAACCCATCAATGTCAGCTCTCCTATAATTGCGCTCGCAACCCAGGCAGCAGTAGAATGGCTGGGGCTCTCTCTGCTGCTCCATACTAGGTTGATGCCACAATCTCTGGTTTGGGGGAGGGAGGTGTCCTAGTACAGACACCCTTTCTCTTCCTTGAATGCCCATCTTAGTGGGCATCCCTTGTGCCTGGAGATGTGAAGCAGGCTTAGGCCAAGGGAAGCAGTCTCCATCTGTGTTTGGATCTCAGTCTAGTTCCTCTAGTTCCTCATTGACATGCAGCCAACTGACCTTTCCAGGGGCCTCCCAATAAATCTGGGCCAGGACAGCAGGTTCTGTCCTGTTTTTCTTCGTATGACTTCTACTCAACCCCCTTTCCCCCAGCCCACCCATGTCCTGATCTGCACCTGGTCCCCAGTTTCTACACAAGCCTCAGAATTCACTGACTTATTCCTCTCTCTTCTCACAGGTGAACCTGGACCTTCCAAGGCCTTCACTTGTCTTCTAGGCATTCAGGCTCACTCCTCCTCTTTCAGTTGTTGCCTTCTGTAAAGTCTGTGTTCCCTCTGCCCACCCCTGCAAGATGAACCCCACCCTATTCCTGGAGACCCCCTGGGCTAGTGATCTTTGTGGGGAAGTCCCTGTCCCAGATTTTGGATGTTCTGAGGATGTCTCCTTGGCCTTTTAAAGAACAGCTTTTTTTTTTTTTTTTTTTTTGGTGTGTTTGCAGGAGAAAATAAGAACTATCAGATAGTGAGGTTGACTGCAGTGGTTCAAGAGAAGTCTCCAGGGACTGGTGAGAGTTGAGAGTCCTTGACAGATTGGTGGGCTTCCTGGCAATTTGTACACTGGGCTGAAATGGACATTTGCCATGCCTGCAAAAAGGGCTTGTCAGTCAAATGTAATTGCAAGGAGGTTTACCCCACCAAAGACAAAGATCTTTATTTAAAACTTTAGTAACTAACATTTAAAGTGCTTTACTTTTACAGATGAGGAAACTGAAGCCCTGCCAGGCCATCGACCAGCCCAGTGGCTCTGGGTCTTCTGGGGATCAGGCACCTCTTTGAAAATTGGATAAATGATAAATGCAATAGCTTGTATATTTAAATTTTGAGGGTGTGTGGCCCCTCTAAATTCATGCCTGGGGGGGGGGGGTCTGTTGACCTTGGCTCCAGCACCCTCCAGTGAGCAGATGAACCAGGTCCAAAATTCAACTCTTAGCCTTTCAGTTTAATTTTCTCTCCTCCCCACCACCCAGCCTCCTGTTTTTGTTAGAGCAGGTCTGGCCTACTTTGGAGTCCTTGGCCTGTATCTCACTTCAAGCAGCTTTGTGCCTTGTAAAACATTCTGGGATTGAAACTTCTAGCCATCCAGCCTAGTTTCTCCTACACCTGCTGGAGGTTAGTGAAGCTAAGTGGGCTTTATGGAGCAGGCACTGTACAGGAGCCAGAAGACAAAGGTCTGAACTTTTCTGGTTGAATGAGGGAAAGTCTAACCTGTGTTCTAGGCACCAGCCCACGATGAACAACGAAAGAGTCTTCCTTCCCCTGGGTATTTCTTTGGCTCTGCTCTGTCATCGCTGTAGGAGCCCCAGCCTGGGCTCCCCAGAGGTTTTATGGACTGGCCCTCCTGACTCCTCATATAACTGCTGTCCTCTCCTGTTTATCAGGTGATGGGTTCCTCTGCTTCCTGTGTCCAGATAGCAGCTTTGCCAGCCATGCCAGCTGAAGGTAGCATCTGCCTCAAATGCCCATATCTATGCCAGTGCCTCCACTGCTAAAGGTCTGAGGACAATACTCAGCAAAGCTGGTGCATTCTACAGGAGCCATTGGGCCCCAGGCTGCTAATGCCTGGGGTGTTTGTGTTTTCCAGAGAGCATAGGAAAGCAGCACTGTCTTTGGTTAGATTTGTTGTCCCCAAGCCTTCTACCCTGGAGCCAGCAGGAATCTTAGGACTGGGCTGGAGGATGGCATGCTCAGAACAACTGCTGGCCCTGACCCAGATGTGGGCACTTCATTTCCTCCATCTGTTGTGAGAAAGTTCACAGAAGGGCCCTCAGCATTTCACAGAAAGACAACCATGGCAAGCTCCTCAGTCTAGTGCCCTCAGTGCCCATCCTCATTGACATGTAGGATCTGAAGACACTTTCCGTAAAAAGCTGGGTAATAAATATTTTAGGCTTTATGGACCACACACCATCTTTTACTGTTGCTGTTTTCCTACTTCCTTCTGTTCTTCCCTTGCCATTTCTTGGCAACCCTTTACAAAAATTATCTCACGGGCTATACAAACACAGGTTACAGGCCAGATTTAACTGACAGGCCTTAGTTTGCTGACTCCTGATTTGTAGGGTGGGGAATGTCACCAGGTGGGGCTGGGGTAGTCAGGGAAGACCTCCTAAAGAGGTGGACTTAAGGTAGGTGGAGAGCTTAAGAGCATTTTTTTAGGTCAGGGAAACTGACAGTAATGTATGGTGGCTGGAAGGAGTCAGTTGTCTCTGCAGAGAAGGGCCAGGACACTGGAAGGAGTCAGAGGTTCCTATATTGGAATTAGATACAAAGGAGGGGGAGGGGGAGTTAAGTGGCAGCTAGATTATTGAGGTCCTCGAATCTTGTGGAAAAAAAATTGAAGGATTATTCTCAGATCTGCAGGGAGCCATAGAAAGTGCTTGAGCATCATCAACTGAAGACTCTTCAACCTTACCAGGTTGAAGCATGTTCTTACCAGCCATGGTCTGTCAGGGTTTGGAGGGTGTATGGATGAGCAAGGAAAGGGTATGTGCATAGTGTTGTGGCCCAGAGAGGGTGGGAGCCCCCCATTCACCTTGGAGCCAGAGGGTACTGTCTTCATGGCCATGGGGGCCAGAGATGATGATTTCTCCCCACTGTCCCTCTCAGGACAGCCCATGACATTCCCCCCTGAGGCCCTGTGGGTGACCGTGGGACTCTCTGTCTGTCTTGTTGCACTGCTGGTGGCCCTGGCCTTCGTGTGCTGGAGAAAGATCAAACAGAGCTGTGAAGAGGAGAATGCAGGTGAGAGGGATGTGTGGATGTGCGAGCACATATCTTTGGGCATGTTGATGTACCTGTGACATCAAATATTACTTTCCCCTGACAGAATGAATGTGGGTGTGCCGGTGGGTCTAGATTGTGTGTGTATGACCTTGGGGCTGAATATGTCTTGTGTGTGTGAACAAATTGAGTCTACTTGTGAGTGTGCAAGTATGGCAGGTTAAATATGTATATGAGTGTGACTGGAAGCGAGTAGTGAGGAGGTGAATATGTATATGAGTGTGACTGAAGTGTGAGGAGGTGATGAATGTGTCTGTGAGAATACTAGTTAGTCCCATGAGTATATCTGTAAGAGCCCAGGTTTAGAAATTTAATGTAAGTGTAAATGTTTCATGGATTTGGGGTCATTATGTGAAGGTGTGTCTGCCTCAGAGGGGCCAGAGCCTGGATCCTCTGACATTTGCTGGGGTAGAATCGGTTTGAGCTGATTTTGGTGACTGGCAGTTGGTGAGTTGATCTCAGTAGATGGGTGGCTTGATCTTAGTAGGTAAATTGATCCTAGTGAGTAGTGGGTGAGGGAGTGGACATGGATGAGCAGGTGAATTGACCCTGGTGGGTGGTACAGAGGTTAACAGAGGTTTTCTTGGGTAAACATGGAAGTAATGGTGAGAGATAAAGTTGACTTGGTATCAGGAAGGACAGTGAATATGTGAATGGGGAAGGGCTGGTCAGTTGACAGATAACTGATGCTTGTGCAGCAGTGCCTGGGTGGGCTGGTGAAGGATGAGTGGACCAATAGATGGGTGGGTATGCATGTTGGAGGGTGGTGGTTGTCCAGATTGGTGGTTGAATGGACAGGTAAATGATGGGTTTAGTGAATTGGTGAAGGTGAGTAGCTGGTCCTTGGCTAGGAGAGTGGCTGGGAGCCCTTTATCCTGCCCTGGAGCTCTGCTCTGTGATACTTGCTCTCAAGTTATGACTCTATATCTAATACTTGACCATGGTCAGGCCTACCTCCCATTTACCTGCCTCTTGCACCCCCAGGTAGGGAAGTGCAATAATGGAAATGGGGCTGAGAAAGTTTTTGTTTGCTCTTCCAGGAGCTGAGGACCAGGATGGGGATGGAGAAGGAACTAAGACTGGTAAGTCTAAGCTTATATAGCCTTATTGGCTGAGGAAAGGACACAGGGACAGGAAGAGGTTTTCAGGACCTGGAGGAGCCATATTTGCTTGAGGTTGAATGAAGCGTGTCCTGTGAACTGAGACCTCACCACCCAGTGAGTCTGGTCTCTGCTCAGCATTAGGCCTACTATCATACCTGGTACCTAGGAAGCGCTCAATACCTTGGAGTCCTGTTACTAGTCAGATAGTGTAATGTAGTCTCATTCTGTATAGAAGTTAAGTAACTCTGGTAACTTCCTCCTTTGAGCTTCAGTTTTTCATCTGTAAATGTCATCCTGCCCTTGCCCTGATGGCACCCGAAGCTTGTTTTTGGAGCTCTCTGAAGTGACAGGATAGGAAAGATATGTTTTTGAAGGTCCTAGTGCTGTGGGGGCACAAACTGGGAGCCCAGCTTGGGGTGGATGCCAAGGTGCTGGTATCCCATGGCCATGGTGCCCTCATTGCCTTCTGGCTCCTGGGCTGGGAGAGGCAGGTTCCTGCTGAGCCATTTGGGATGATGCCAGTTCTCTCCCCACACGCATAGAACGAAGGGCAAGAAATTGACACCTGGGACTGCTATAAATTACGCCAATTAATTATCTGTCTTTGGTGTCTGTGTGTGGAGATGGTTCTGGGATCAGGCCTCCTTTTTTCATGCTCAGAGGCAGATAGAGTTGAAAGAAGAGAGGGCAGGAGCTGGTAGCTTAGAAATTTGGTCAGTGTCTGTTCCACACAGTTCTAGGGATATCTGGGGACAATCTGCAACCTCTCTGGCTCCTTACTTCACTGTGTTTGTGGAGTAGATAACACATCTCTAGCTCAAGAGACCAGGTAGTTCTCATTCTACTGATGCAGAAAACTACTGAGGCCTAGAGATGGGAATAACAAGCCAGAGTGGAGCTATGACTTGGGCCCCTTCCTTGGTGCTGATGTTGCCTCCACTCTCCTGCCTCCTTCCAGTTCTTCTATCTCTCCATACCACCCTCTACAACACAACTTTCCACAGTTCCTCCTAACTATGTGCTTCTTCATTTTTTGCAGTCCTGAGGCCTCTAAAGCACTCTGAAAACAAAGAAGGTAATGACACGTAGTGCTTGAGATTGTGTGTGTCTGTGTACCTGTGTGTAGGAGGCATGGAGGGTTAAGGGGAAGTGATTGCACTTCTTGGTGGTGACCTGCTCCCCAGGAGAGCAGCCTCCACTCCCCTCACACCCCCTAGTAGAGCTGCTGGGACCTTGGTTACTCCACCCTCTGAAGGGTAGGGCCAGACCAAACCTGGGTTCAGCAACCTTGATACTTGGGTTCTGGCTAGGAAAGAATTTAGAGCCAAGACCCAAATGTAAGGGAACATTTATTTAGTAAATCATAGAAGTAAAAAAGTCATTATAGAAGAAATGCACCTAGTAAACAAGTTATAGAGGTAAAGGAAGGGCCCTGGGAGCTTGGGAGTGAGGAAGCAAATGGTAAAGTGCCTGGTGCAGGAAGGGGCAGAGGATGGAGAAGGAAAGGCAAGGAGGGGAGGGGAGAGAAAAAAGGGGGAAGGAGGAGAGAAAGGCAAGAGCATGTTCCCAGAAGAGAGAATGCACTGGATCCTCTGTCCTAAGGGTTTTAAGGGTGGAGAGTTTAGGGGAGGTCCCAGGGGAAAATCTCAATAGAATGTTCAGCAGCTTTCCAGGTGTCCTTTCAGGGTCTAAATCTCCACTGATTGATTGGTGGTCAGGGCAGCGGGTCATTATCCAATGCAGCTGGTCCTGAGGTGGGCTGAGGCTGGTTTTGTTGCTTATCTGGGTCTTGAACTGAAATCCAGCTGAGGCCTAGATGTTATCTCTAGGGAGGAAAGGTTAGGGGGCCCAAACCCCATAACCAGCTATATGCTAGGGGAGGAGAGATCACCCTGGGGCAAGGTCTTACTCTACAATTGTCCTTTGCTAGGTGTTACGCCCAGACTTCGTGATCCCCAAGGACCACCAGGGAACCGAGTCTGATGCAATAAACAAAAGAGCCTTTTCCATGCTAGCATGGGCTCTGTCCCACTCACGCCGGCAGCATGGTGGAAGAGATAGCAAATTTCGCCCATCCCGTCGGTGGTGATGTCACTGCCTCGGCTAACCCTGATTGGTTGGGTGAGGGCTAGGGTTCAATTACAGAATGGAGGATAACTCCGCCCTGCCCCACAGTGGAGTCAGGAGCCCATCCTTGCCCCACCCTGCCCTCTCACTAGGCACCACCCTGGTGACCTTCTGTACTTGGCCTATTGTCCTTGCTCTGTGCATGTCTCTCTAACTGTCTATCACAGATCTGAGTGGCTTCCACCTAGAAAATCAAGGCTGATTGCCAAAGGTATGGAGCCTTAGAGTTTTTTCAAGTCACCTTGGTGTCCCTGTTAGGAATTCCTGGGTGCTCATCCCTGCATTTAGCTTTCCTCTGGGTCCCAGGCTCTGGACTTGCTGGGCAAGCACAGGGGCAGTCCACAGGAGGAGAGCTATTTTCCCAGACAGACAGACAGACTGCCAAAGAATAGGAGAGAAAGGGTGGGTCACACATGACCCTGTCTTCCTTCTAAACTCTCCATTCAGGCCAGGAGTAGAGTGAGGCCAGGACTATGAATCCATGAGGTGCCCTCTACATGGAGACAAGAAGCCAGGGGGAAAAAGGTTTCCCACAGCATGACTGCTAGGGAAATTGGTATGGGAAAGAAAAGATGGAAAGGGTTTCCTGCTAGCTGACAGAGGCAATGGGAAGGGAAAAGTGTGCCAGGCAGAGGGGCAAGTGGGAGGGAAGTGTTTGAGTTGAGTGGACCCATGAGGATTGGTGAGGACTAAGCAGTCTCCCTCAGGCGCCCTGGTGGTCTGTCTGATGCCCAACTCTGGTGTTTGTGCTTTTGGGGCCGTGGGACAGCACTAGTGCTGGGGACTACTGCTAGCTGGACCTCTGTGGCCACTCCCATACACACTGCCCACACTGAAGTATATGACCATGTCCTGGGCTTCTGGCACTCTCCCAAGAGTAGAACTCAGATACTTAATTCTCCCCCCCCCCCCTTTTTTTTTTCTTCCCATCATGAAATTCAGGTGATGGACCAGAAATAGCCTGACCACAAGAATCAGGAAGCTGCTGCCCTTGCCTTGGGCTCAACTCTTTGCTTGCACTAGAGTCTCTGTGTGAGCCCTGGGCTGGGTCTTCCCTGCCCCCAACAGATGGCTCCCATCCTGGAGAATCTACTCATTCTGCAAAGGATGTGATACAAGACCACTTACAGTCTCATTTCTTCATTGGACATGACTCCCAAGTCATCCTGTTGCCTTATTTCTTATGGACACAGACCCCACCAACTTGCTTCTCCAGTGGTACACTACATGGACCATCTGGCTGCATTTTTTCTCTAGAGCTTACAACATTCAGACTGACCTTCTGACTTGTTTCTCCAAAGACTTGATATAAAGTCACTTCTCGCCTAGTTTTTCCAGTGGCCCTGATACACTAGCTCTCACTACTCAGACTTCCTCCCACCTGCCTGTAATCCGTATCCTCAGAAGGAGCAATGTAGCCCAGTATTGCCTAGCGGTGTCTAGCAGTGTCTCCTCTTGCTTTCTCCCACGCTGGCCCCAAGGCTGGCCTTTCCCTCCTCCACTAAGTGAGCAAACGTCCCCTCCCAGGCATGCAGAGGCACAGGTGCACTTTTCTCTTGGGCGGGTCTCTTCCACGGTGCCCTGGTCTGTGCCCCGTGAGCCCCCCTCTGCCCACCATGCCCGTGGGAAGTGTGTGCTGGTCACACTGGGTCCTGAGGATCAGCTTCTGTTCTCTGCTTTTCTGCCTTTTGCTTATTCATTCAAGTAATGTTCACCAAGCACCTTGGGGGTTGGTACTGTGTTAGGTGTGGGGAACCCTCCCTGAGAAGACAAGCTGCTTCTTCAAGGACTTGCCCCTCAGCTGCAACCCTGTGAGGAAATAGCAGATCATGAGAGGGGCTCCTGCTTTGCTCTCTGCTATACCCCTCTGCTGTGCCCCCAGCTACCTAGGTACCTTACCCAAATCCATCCCTGGTTCTTAGCAGAGTGGCGGGGGTGGGTAGAAACCTGGAGAGAGGGATGAAATCTCTCACTCCAACTGGTGAGAAGCTAATGATTCCCAAAGTGTCTTTTCAGGGTGAGCAGTGGGCAGTCAGGCAAGACCAAACAGACCCCAAGAACCCAGCAAGGAGGACGCCCAAGACCTCAGCCAGGGGTACAGCCCCTCCACCCTTCCCCCCACCATGGTGCTATTCTGGTCCTATTTCTTGGCCTCTCTTTGGCCAGCCCCCAGCCTCTGGTAGAATGAACTTCTGATGTCCTCCCACTGACATAGCCAGCAGTGGAAGACATGGCGATTTGTAATTTAAATGTGGGACTCTCAGGAATTTCATTAACTGGGGGGTGGAGGGGAGGTACTTGGAGGAAAATAAATGCCTTTGTAGAAAGCTTTTTCTCTGTGAAGTGAATGAAATAGGTCTGGGTCAGGACTCAGCAGGAAGGATTCCTACCTGGACATCACAGCTGGGCCTCCTTTCACCATCCTTACAGCACTCAGTCTTGGGAGCCATATTGCCCCTCCCTGGCCTCAGTTTTCCTCTTGGCGAAGTGAAGTTGGCGGTGTAAAAAGTCAGGCCCTTTGGTTACTCTATGGGGCTCCACTCATTTCTAAAACACCCCCTAAAGAAGACTCTGACCCCAGGTTTGTTTAGGGCTTCTGCTAATACCCCATTTTGTAGATAAGAAAGCTGAGACCTAGTGAGAAGCTGGCACTGGGAAAGGAGTTCTGAGTGCTATTCTTTTAAATAAAATTGTATTATTATTATTGGTTTTGGGAGAGAAAGGGAGAGGGAGAGATGGAAACATCGATGAGAGAGAGAGACATTGATCGACTGTCTCATACCTGTTTTACATATGGACAAACTGATCCAGTCAGTTTGTTCTGGGCCACAAAATCACCTAGGGAGCAACAGTGTGCAACCTTGACTGCAGGAGAGGAAACGTAAGCCCTCCTATGGGCCCAATACTTTATAGTTTGCAGTGTCTCCTTACTCACTGCCTGTCGAGCACTCATAACAATCTTATGAAATGAACTACTGTCATCCCACCTTATAGATGGGGTTGAAACCCCGTAATATGAGCAAACCCAAGGTGGTAGAAGGGGGAAGCAAAGGCAGAGACTCTCATGGACCTTTTGGTTCTAAACCAGTGGTGGGACTTCAAGCAAGGTGACCCTATCCTTCCTAACAGTGCGGTTAAGGCTTAGAGATGACACTATATTAAGTGCTTCTAGGAGTGACCTAGCAGGTAACAGACTTGCCTGGGGGGAAGAGGGGCTGAGGAAGATGGCCACTAAGTTCTCTGTGACAAGTACCCAGACAGCACTATTTTTAGCTGCCCTTTCTGGGCAAAGCTCCACCTCTTGCATTTTAATGGAGAAATAATTCTCACAGTGCCTCAAGCTGTAGCCTGCAGGTGTCACATCCATATTAAAAAGGGGACAGAGCAAGGGTTCATTTGCCTGGCTTGAGTTGTGGCTGGAATTCAACTCCAGAACCATTTGTAACCAAGGCTGTGAAGACCAATTAGTATATCTGACCACTCTGAGGGATGAGACTGGTAGAAGTGAAATCAGCATGGCCAGGGGCCTTGAATCACCCAGTCTTTCTCTATCTGCCTCTTTCCTCCAGAATGCTCTGCTGTTCACAGGCATTAATGGTGCCTTCCAAGAGCTCTGTTCAGGGACAGGCCTGTGACCTTGCTCATCCCAGAAGGCAGTTGTTGAGTAGGATGCTGATCCTTTTGGGCCAATGAGCAGAGACCTTGGCTAATCTGAGTGGGGCAATGTTAGCATATCCTGTTGCAAAGCCCAAGTATTAAACTAAGATACGGAGCCAAAGTTTGCCCCAAGTAGCCAAACCCCAAGCCTCCAAGGGCAGGGAACCCACAGAGAAGCTGGAGGCTGACATGAAGTGAGGAGGCAGAATAGATGGGGGTGGGGAGCAGCAGATCCAAATGCAAACAAAAGAGAAATGTATAAAATGCTCGCCTTCACTTCCGTCCCCCACTCAGAGGGAAGCACTATTAAGGATTTGCTGTCCTTCCAGACTTTTCCCCAGGTTACACATTTACAAAAATGAAGTCAGACATATTATTCTGCAACTTTTTGTTGTTTTTTCTTTACCAAAGTCAGTCCTTCTGTTTCTTTACTTTTTAAACAAGGTGTAACATATATCTAGTGTTTAAAAGACAGTAGTCCTCAGTGTATAGCCCCATGAATTTTCACACAAGTATCTCTACCCATGCAATCATCATCCAGGTCAAGATATAAAACACTTTTAAAATCCAGAAACTTCCCCAGAGCCCCTTTGTTATGGAAAGAGCCAAGGTCTGAGTAAATCTGATGGGGTATTACGTGTGGATTTCGAAGAAATAACTCAGAGGCCTAGCTGTGAAAGACACAGGTTTACTACTGGCGGTTCCCTGAGTCTCTGCAGCACAGGGTTCACAGCGAGTGTAGGAAACAAGACAAACTGCACGGGGGCCCAGGCTTGCACACAGCTGTGGGAGATCTGAACGCTAGCTGATTCTCTACAGTTGTTCACAGCCCAGGCTCTCATCTACCGTAGAAGCAGTTTCTCTTTGGCAGTTTCTTGACTGAGGAGCTGGTCACACTCCCAAGGTCTGTTCTAGTTTGCTTACTGATGGTCTTCATCATATTCCCACAGGGTGGGAGGGGGAATTGGAGCTTGGGAAGGGGCAGGGTCATGTTCTCACATACCACACATGCTTCCCAGTCAGTGGCCCCACCAAAGATATTATTCTGGCTGTTTTCACCATAGATTCATTGTGCTTGTTCTTTAACTTCATATAAATGCAATCCTATAGTTTCCTTTTTTAGAGTGCTCTGCTTCTGGCTAGAGCCCCTGGTTAGCAATGACCTCAACCATCAGCACCAGGAAAAAACCACTGGATTAATGGGATCCAGAGCTGTATCTGGAATAGTATATTCTATTTTGTGTCTAGCTTCTTGCAAAGAGTTCCTCATCCTATTTAAATTGTTACATATTATCTCCTAGTACTACTGTTCTGGAATATATTTTTCAAGTTTCTATATCTAGTTTGGATATAAACAATGTGGACTTGTGCTAGAGTTTCTACAGTATGGAGCCCAATAAGTGGAAACTTGGGGTCACAGGCCTGTGCATTTTAAATGTTGGTAGAGTTACCAATTGTTTGGACTGCCTTTATAGCCAGTCCCTGTGGCAGCAAGAACCTGCAAGCAAAGAACATTTAGGCCACTAGCAAAACCAATTCTAGACAGGGCAGAAAGGCTGCTGGGAATTCCCACCCTAGCTGGTCGGGGACCTGAAGGGTGGAACCTAAATCAGCAGTGGATGGTGGATGTGATCATCTCTTCCTTTCCAACCTACCCTAGATGCTTTCCCCTTCAACATCTGCCTTGGGGCAGTGGCTGCTTCAGTTCCCTGGAAGCTATCTTCACATTTCTGGGACCCCAGTCCTGGAGATGAGTGTGTGTGCCTCCTGCTGGATGAAGTGGTCTGAGCGTGTGCTGGGGTTGGGCTGAGCCCTGCCTCCTTCACTTGGAACACCTGACCACAGTGGATGGAGGCAGTTCATCAGCACCTCACTGCGTACAGGTGCCTCAGGGCAAGTTAAATCTGCTCTTGTGTCTGAAGATGTTCCTAACCTGCCATTTGGTACCACGAACTCCAGGTAATTATGATGACACTATTTCACCATTAATGAGGTGGTGCTTGTTAGAGCATAGGAAACCGTGGGTCTCATGGGACAAGCAGTGCCGATGGCTTTTTCCAGCATCTGAGCAGCAAAATAGCCCCCTTGCCTCAACTTCCTCAGCTGATTTGATTTCTTCACCCCCACTGTCATTCTCTGGACATGTTTGTTACATCACTGTCATTTTAGAGTGAGGCCCTGGCATGGATTGTAATATTTCAGGTCATAATAGAGCAGTCTCTTACCTCCTTGATCCTGAGTGTTATGCTCCTAGTGATAATGCTCTGGATCCCATTAATCCAGTGGTTTTTAACCCTGGCTGCACATTAGAATCACTTAGGAGACTTTTAAGAATAGAGGTACCTGGGCTCCCTCCCTAGAAGTTCTGGTGTAGTTGGTTGAGATCATTGCTAAAGATTTTATGTGCACACACCAGGGGCTCTAGTCAGCCTTACAAGTTAATGTTAAATAAGATTCAGAGGACAACCTTGAGGAAAGACCTTTGAGACCAAGCACCTGAGATAAGCCAGCTGTTCTAAATGATCTCTGAATCAGACCAAGAGGTGTTTGTTTTCTCACTAAAGGATGCACAGAAAATACAGGTGCAAGAAACATTGAGGGACAAGATCATGGTTAGATTGGAGAAGGGGGGTGGGCTTTCCCTATGTTATAAGGCCCAGGAGAGAGCAGGAACCCTGAGTCTCATCCCTTGGTCAGACCAAGTACCCAGGGTCTGGTGGAGTGAGGAAGATGGCATGGACAATGGCTCAGTCCTTTTCTGTTCAGTATAGGAAATGAGGGGCCATTACCCTCCTTTTCTCTCTGTGTCTATCTCTCTTGTCACACACAGTCCTCCAGATGTGCACATCCATGTGACTAGTTCTGGCTCCCTCCTACCCTCCTTCTAGCACCATGTTCTCCATGAGGTGAGGACTATCTGTCCTCCTGACAGTACTCAGTCTGTGTGTGGGGGCCAGACTAAGAAAAACAGCTTTCATACTCTTTCTGCTTTATTCCTTCCCTGTCTCAAATTTGCTTCTGCTCCAAGATGTCCTGGGGCCTCTACTGTGCTGTAGACCTGCCACATCCAGAGTGATCAGAGCAGAGCCTCTCTCCTCTACCACTACCCCCATTGACCTGTAGTGTCTCTGGCCTCTAGTCCTTCCTCAGGCTCAAATTTTATCTAGCCAGGATTTACCCACCTAGTCCCATCATTCACAGGATTCTGGCAGGATGGATGGACATGGGTTTCTGCCAGCCACTGAACTGACATTTTGCCTCATTTGCTAAGATAATTTAGTGTAATTTGCTGCTAACAAATGATTGCACTGCTTCTTGTTTCTCTAGCTTTCATAATTGCTTTGAAGTCTATGTGCTCGTGATGGCAGTTTGAGCAAATATTCTGGAAACCCACAGCTGGCTAGGTTGCAGAGGGAGCTCAGCCTCTTTGCGTGACCATGCCAAGGGCCTTGGTGACCCAAGAGCCTTGACTGGGGTGCTGATTGTGTGGGTGTCTCTCTCCATGCTGTCCTGAGTGTCCCCTGCCTGCTGCAGCAAAGCAGATCTGGGTCATCCCCAAAAGAGAATGTGCTAGCAGCCAGGGATTCTGGCCCCCAGGTGTTTGTGGAACAGGTTCTGAACTACTGGGAGAGGGGTCATTCTGCTCTGTTGGTAGGATGGATTATGAGGGAGAAGGGGAGAGATATGACCTGTGGAGGGCAGACATTGCATTGATCGTATTCAATCTTGGTCAGAAGCTTTTGCTCAAGCTCTTCCCTTCATGGATCTGCCCTCCGTCTCCTCTGCCCAGGCAAATCCTACACATGTCATCCCCTGTGTCACTCTAGTCTCTAGCTGTATCTGTATTTTACAGCCATGACAAGGCACTGGCTCCTTCACTGTTCTCTGGGAGATTATCTCCTCTGCAGAGCAGGTCTGCATTTGTCCCCTGCCAGCCCAGTGCAAGCAGGGAAGTACCCAAATCACATTCACCAACCTCTAAATGGAAGACCAGGCTGAAGATTATTTCTGCACTACCCTCTGAAAACAAGGTTTCCCAGCAAGTGACTAATGAAAATGAGGCTGCCAAAGGTACTTAATCTATTTAAAGCAATAAACTATTTTTGAAAATCTCTTAGAAGTCCTCATTTACCCATAAATAATTTATATGGTAATTACAAGTCATTATTTATGTTTACCAGAAGATTCTCTAAGCCTTGTTTGTCCACTGCCCTGTGCTCTGTGTGGGAGACATTCCCTGCAAACCCTTGGGGAGATGAATGCTCTGAGACCTTATAGGTAAGCACCTGTAAAATAGGGACAAAAGTCATGCCCCCTTCCCTGGTTCACTGGGCTGGAAAAAGGTCACCAAGAGGATGGAGGCTCTGTGGGGCCACCCCATCTGCATTTAGGATGCAGGGTAACCCAAGAGGCCTGGCTAGGGTGCCGATTGTCTTGGTATCCTCCTCCATGCTCAGGAATACAATTTATAACCCATCAAATCGGTCTGAGCAGATGGCATCAAGCCTAGCCCAGATGCTGGAGGCTGAGGACAATAGTTAGCATAATAAATGTGAGAAGTTCATCAGAAGGCTGATGGATATCTTCAGCATAGCTGAAGATCTGCATATTATTACCTGTGGTGGGGTGCTTCTCCTTTTTCTGCATCCCATATAGAAAGGGAGAAGGACAGGTTCCTGAGTGGAGGAGCTGGGGATTAAAAAATAAAAGAAAGAGACAAGAGGCAGAAATAGATCCAAAAGCTGGGTGCTGGGTGGAGGCTGTCACTCTGATGGAGGGACAGTCAATACCCACCACAGACAACACAGCGCATTTATTGATTTCCAGAGGGGGGTTTAAGGTCAAAGAAGTTTTGGGTGTGCCCAGGTCCTATTCATTCCCTCATTCCTGGGATTTAGCATATCAAGACCTGGGTAAGTCAAGGTCCTATTCATTCCTCATTCCAAGCACAAGAATGAAGATAAGAAATCAGTACTGATAACAGTCTCCAACTTTTTGGGAGGCTGTTTCTGGGGGACAGCCATTCCAGTCACCTTGGACTCAGCTGACATTAATTTAAAGGTCATCCATGTTCATTCCCAAGGGGCACTCTATAATTACCTTCTGTCAAACAGCTGGGGGCAATTCCTCTAACATGATGGTCCTTTATTGTTTACCAAACCTTACCTTTGATATGTATATCTGCTTTGCTAAAGGGAAAAGTCTCTATATAAAAGCTTAAGTGGCTGTTTCATCTGAAACAACAGAATAAATGAGCGAACAGACTGTGTGGGGCAGGGGAGTTAGTGAGGGGCGATCAAATGACTGAGTAGCAGGCTGTGTGTGCCAGTTGGGGGTGACCAGGCTGTCAAGTGGGGGGGGGGGGGGCATGTGAGAGATGACCAAATGACCAAGCAGCAGGCTGCATGGGGTGACTAGGCCCATACTGGTGTGTGTGTGTGGAAGTTTGGGGTGATCAAGCCAGCAGGGGGTGGGGGGCAGTAAGGGGTGACCAGGCACGGCAGAGGAGGCAGTAAGGCCAGCAGTGGGCCAGTTAGGAGTGACCAGGCCAGTGGGGTGAGGACAGTTGGGGGCAACCAGACTGGCATGGGGGGGTCACTAAGGGGTGACCAGGCAAGTGGGGGGAGGGAAGTTAGGGATAATCAGGCCAGCAGGGGGGAAGGAGTTGGGGGCAACTATGCTGGCAGGGGTGCAATTGGGGGTGACCAGATCATCAGGGGGGCAGTTAGGGGCAATCAGGTAGATAGGTGAGCAGTTAGTATCCAGTGGTCTCAGATTGTGAGAGGAATGTCTGACTGCCAGTTTAGTCCTGATCCCCAGGATCAGACTAAACCGGCAGTCGGACATCCCCTGAGGGGTCCCAGATTGGAGAGGGTGCAGGCTGGGCTGAGGGGACCCCTCTCCGTGCACAAATTTTGTGAACTGGACCTCTAGTGTGTTAATAAAAAGCCATGGGTCCCAAGATTTGGGGAGCTTAGTCACTGGCTCCCCCAAAATGCCTTCCAAATTTATATTTCTTGTCTAGTCTCTATTCATTTATGCAGAGACCTCCAGATTCCTGAACCCTAGCTGTAGAAAGACTGTGGCATTTATGGCGCCTCAACAAGGGACATCAAGAGAAGAAGATTATTCACCTGGGTAAAGGTGGGGATCATCGGTAAAGGTGGGAGTCATTGAAAATTTAGTGGTGAGATTCACTGTGATTAAAGCTCATACCAGCTTTGGAATTTGTGATCCAAAGAGGGTGTGGAAGTCTTTTTCAAGCCAGGCCATAATGGGGAAGAATTTGCTTAAAAGGCAAAATTATAAAGAAATTAAAATGTCAAAAGGTATTCTTAAATCAGGCTCAAGGAAAAAGAGTGCCCTTGTTATATTTAACTATGTGGGATCTTATTCAAATTGCAAAATGCCTAATTCGTATTGGGGATCAAAAGTCTGTAAAAATTAAAAAGGCCTCAGATATCAGCTTCTATTGTGGGGTGACTTGGCAGCTAGAAAGGGTGAAGCTGTCAGCTCTCTCACAGAGGAACTCTGATGCTTTGTTTAAAAATTACCATATGATGCCTTGGGACAGCAGAGTTTAGCTAAAATAATTTTAAGGGGTAGTCAATACTATGGAGAGAAATCTCTGGGAAAAGAACTGTGATATATTAAGTCTTGTCTATATGTTTATTGATCTGTCCTTTTTATTTGGCTTACTGTTTTTATTGTTAGTTTATTAAGCATGCCTTAATTTAATTGGGAAAAGAAATCTGGGTGGCCAGCCTATTTACTGAATATCCCCAGAGCAAATAAAATGTCGGGGTGGGGAGACACGTAGTGATCCTGTAAAATGGACGCCCACCCCAAGAGTGCTATTAAAAGGTCTCAGGTTCTTTATTTCCTGGTTTGTCATTTAAAATCTTGCAGACTTTAGGAATGCATCTGGGATTTCTGTATTTCTAAAGAGAGAAAGCTGGCTTAAGACAAAAGTGTGCTCTGTCCAATCTTAAATGGGTTTTGGGATAAGTTTAAATCTCTTTATGGATAATATAGGATAAACCCAAGACTGTTTATCTCAAAAAAAAAAGAAAGAAAGAAAGAAAAGGAAAGGAAAGGAAAGGAAAGGAAAGGAAAGGGAAAGGAAAGGGAAAGGAAAGGGAAAGGAAAGGGAAAGGAAAGGGAAAGGAAAGGGAAAGGAAAGGGAAAGGAAAGGGAAAGGAAAGGAAAGGAAAGGAAATGTGGCAAAAATGACCAAAAATGGGGGTGGGATGGGGATAGGCTGAGTTTGGGCAATAAGATTGGTATTTCCATAATAGAGGGCAGTTTTTGAATATTAATGGACCACATCCCAAAGTTAACTTTAAGGCCATTGAAAGTCAGTAAGTTATCTGTTACAGAATTTGCCAAAGAAAATGCCATAGATAATAATTACTAGCTTTAAAATCTCAAAATTATTAAAACGTGGGTAAATATATATAGCTAAGATGAAGGATTTGTAGTGAATCTTTTCAGTAATAATTATAGGTATATTGGTAGTGGGGATTCACTCCATGTTGAAGGAGGGTGCTGATCCTGCAGCAGCAACCTCTAAGGAAAGAATGTGACAATTTTACATTTAAATAGCTCCAGGTTTGCTTCCAAAGTCATTAGCAACTTAAAACTTTGGAGTTTACTGAATTAAGTAATAAAAAACTTGTTAAATATCTAGTTATTTTGAAAGGACAAAATAGTTAAATATTAATCTGAGTTTCCCTCATATGAAAAATCTAGAGGATAGAATTGAATCTATTAATTGCATGTGTCTTGCATTTTATTTAAAACATATTCTTATAAATGTCAGGTTATTACTATTCTAAGAAATGCTAAGTATTTAACTTGCCAGCTAAACTTTAAGGCTTCTGAGAGTTTAAAGTTCAAATTAAGTTAGGAGAAATTATATAGTGTGATAACAAAATGAATAAAGTATAGAAATTTATTTTTGAGAAAAGAATTCTTATATTTTCTCTGGAGAAATCAGTAGTTTAAAATAATATATTATAGTCTTTATTTGTGGTAAAATTTCAACCTAGAGCCCTAGCTAGTTTGGCTCAATGGGTAGAACATTGGCCTGTGGACTGAAGGGTCCCAGGTTTGATTCCAACCAAGGGCACATGCCTGTGTTGCAGGCTCGGTCCCCAGTAGAGGGCGTGCAGGAGGCAGCCAATCAATGATTCTCTCTCATCATGGATGTTTCTCTCTCTCTCTCTCTTTCTCTCCTTTCCTCTCTAAAAATCAATAAAATATATATTTTAAAAAAATTCAACCTAGAGTATAATCTTTTATATGGTCTAATTAATAAAGAGGATTAAGTCTGTGGTCTCAACCAAATTTTTAATATAAAATTCAGTTTATATTTAATTGATATATTTTAGAATAATTATAAAAAGTATATAATATAATCTTTGGGATATATATATTTGATGGCCTTTCCAATTTAAATTTCAAGACTTTAACCAAGAAATGACTTTGTAACATTCCATGGGCCCTGGAGTGATTCAAGGATTTATTCTCTCTTAAAAGAAATACTTAAAAACCAAATTAGGCTGATCAAATACACTTGAAATCACATGGAAAGCTTTATCAAATAAAAATTAATAAATATATTTTACTTACATACATATATTTTACATGTTATAAAGATTTCAACCTTTAAGGGAGGGTAAGACAAAAGTTGCTAAATATTTTTTAAGATTCAGCAGTGAAAATTTAAAGCCCTCAGGCAGCTTGCTTTCCAAATAGGCTGGGGGATGGAACTTCATCTGTACTTCATAGGTCAAATGTATAAGTTTTCTTACTTTATTTTTTCAATAAAGATACCCATTTTAATTACTTAATAAATTAGCTTTTTAAAATATAATTTCAGTTATATGAGAAGCCAATATTTTTATAAGCAATTGACTTTAACAAAGGTCAACATAAAAATTTGCATACAGCCAGTCCTCTGAAATAGTTCCTGAGACCACCCTTAATCCCTCTGTGTATACAAATGAGCACCAGTCAAAAAGAATGCTGTTTAAAAGTAAA